CAGTTAAAAAAAATACATGTGACAAACAGTCTCCATATACCCTAACCACCCAAGGAACATTCCATGCATATACAAAGTAAATGAAGACTGTATCAAGCAGCTTATTATTAATTATAGTAGTTAAGGATCTTCTACTCTTCATCTTAACACACTGCCCCAGAGTGAACCATTGGTAGCTGGTGGGCGGGAGGGACAACATTATCCTTTCCAGTGTAGTGAATAAGCATGTGCCATATAGTTTCAAAATTGTCTTTGGTCTTTGTGTTCCACCAGAGCTAAGTTAGTTGCTGTTTTCCAGTACTGTTAGGAGTGCCATATGTCTGGGTTTTCCCGGAGACATGTGGGAATCGGACTGACAAAATGGTGTCCGGGCGGATTTTTGCAGAATCAGCAAAATGTCCAAGAAAACGCTAACGTATGGCAAGTAGGACAATTTATTTTTTAAAGAAATGATTTTAAAATCCAAAAAAGCCCCCAAACAGCCTCAACCAATATACTGTTTTCTCAAATAACAGCAAGCATATGATCCAAATGACTGCAGCAGCTTTCTTTTCTGGAGAAAGCATCAGCATCAGCAGCATCCCTTCCTCCAGCACACAGATGCAGCTTTTGGCCAGAGGATAGTTGGATGCTCTCCCTCGTCATCCCTCCAGTGCCTGCTAAGGAGAGGTCCAAGCGGGCCTCGCAGCCAGCAGTGAAGGCTGGGAGGACCCTGCAGGAGGGCCAGGGCCACCTTTCCAGCAGCCACTGCCTCCCCTCGCAGCTCTAGGGTGCAAATTCACCGGTCACCCAACCAACAACAACATAGAAGTCCTTGCATATTGCTATAGAGAGGTGTGTGTTTCTAGCGGGAGCAGTAACCCCCTCCACTAACTACCTCACTGGCCAAGCTTCCTCCTCCTCCTCTGTTGACAGCTGTGGGTAGGTGTGAGTGTGCCAGGAGCTGGTGTGCAGGAGAAGCATTGTAGGCTCGCATTGAAACGTGCACAGACACTTGTGCCTCCCTGTCTGTGTAATTATGTTTTCCAGCTGAAGACATGAAAATGATTAGTAAGTCCTTAAACAAATAAATATATGGTCATCTGTAAACAGATTTATAAAGCTGCCTCAGAACAGGTTGACCACTTGTCTTGTAAACAGAAGGAATTTCTTCAAAGACTAATTTCCAAAATAATTGTACAGGTTTGCATTGCATTTGCATTGCATTGCATATGGATGTATTGGCCTATCTGCTGACATCCTTCTCCAACATAATGCTTAATAATAATAATAATAATAATAATAATTGTATGCCACCCATCTGACTGGTTGCCCCAGCCACTCTGGGCGGCTCCCAACAGAGTATTAAAAACACGGTAATAACATCAAACATTAAGACTTCCCTAAACAGGGCTGCCTTCTAAAAGTCAATACAGTGTTACTTCAGGGTTACGAACTTAATTCGTTCCAGAGGTCTGTTCTTAACCCGAAACCATTCTTAACCTGAGGCGGGCTTTCACTATTGGGGCCTCCTGCTACTGCCAGGCGTGCAATTTCCGTTCCATTCCTGGGGCAAAGTTCACAACCTGGGGTACTACTTGCAGGTTAGTGAGTTTGTAACCCGAAGTGTTTGTAACCCAAAGCGTTTGTAACCCGCCCGAGGTAACCACTGTACAGTAGTTGTTTATTTCCTTGACATCTGATGAGAGGCATTCCACAAGGCAGGTGTTACTATTGAGAATGCCCTCTGCCTGGTTCCCTACAACCTCCACTTCTCACAGTGAGGGAAACTGCCAGAAGACCCTCGGAGCTGGACCTCAATGTCCCGGCTGAACAACAATTGGTGGAGACAGATGTGTAGTGTCATTTGTGAATTGTTTTAAAACTATTTTCTCTCATTTTAGCTAAATCTGACTTAAAAGGTCCCCCCCCCTCATTTTTGCCATATTGTGTTATCAATTTCACAATATAGATCTGATTCACAAATAGATTTTTATGAAATTAGATCCCCTGTCATTACATCACAGGTAATCTTTTAGATATTGAATAGCAACTTTTTTGATTCTATGTATAATTTAAAAGTCAGTTGTCAATAGTATTTAAGGGTCTGGTGGCTTGAGATAATACTGCTAGGTTAGCAAGGAAATATATAATTTGATGTATGGACAGCGAACTGATTTCAAGGTCACAAAATTGTATCATTTTCTGTACTCCAGTAAGAGGTTTCATTCCTTATAGAGGTCTCTTTTTGTGTGTAGTCCCTTTTGGTTCCAGCCTTTGAAAATGTGTTTCTCTAAAACTGTTACAAAACGAATAATTGTACACATTACTGGGGCCAAATTTTTGGATCTTGAGGTTCAAACTTGTAGGTCTGCTAAAGAAAAGGGACTCAGTATATTGTTGAGGACAATAGGCTGGTAAGTTAAATAGGGTAAGGTCTCAGCTCTATTTTTATTTAAAACAGATTTATTTTTTCATTATTACATGTGCAGGATCATGACCATAATAAATTTGGGTCCCAAGTCTTCCCATATGTGTTGATTTATTTAAATTGGATTCTGCCATCTTGGTTTTTTGTTTTGCTGTTTAAAGTTAATTGAGGTAAATTCTGTTTGTTTGTTTTTTAATAATAATTATGGATTTGATCAGGGCATCAAATTCTTTTTTCTTGCAGAAATATTCTGGTAGGATTCTTCTTTTTTATATTAAAGTGCATTGGAAGGGAGTTAGCAGAAAAACACACCTCGCACAAGAGAAAGAAAGGAAAAATCCCAGCTACCTCAAACAGCAGCAACAAACATCATATTTCATTTTGGCATTATTATTCATCATTCCATTTTGGCGAGCGTCCCAGCGGGGGCGGGGGGGGGGCCATGACACCTGGGGCGGACCGCACCCACCGCACCCCCCCTTCTCTTCCTATGCCCACAGGCTTATATTCTAATAAACAAACAAATAAATAAAAATACATCACACAAGGGAAAAGGGGCAAGGAGGGAAGAGAATAAAATAAAATAAAAAACCCTCAAGCCCCCTTGTTTAGACAGGTGTTCCTATCTCTCCCACTGAGGCAGCCTGACAAAATGGCTGCCCTCAGATGACAGTGGAGGGAGAGAAGGCCTAACGGAGCTGGCCTGTTGCAGCTCTGCTTCTCAGCTCTCCCAGTGGCTGCCCTTGATTGGCAGTCTCCTTTACCCATAAAATAAATAAATGGAGATCCCACCCTCACATATACACACTGACTCACCCACCCACCCCTTAAGCCTTAAATTAGTTATGCAATTTCTATTCTCCCAATCAATCAATGCTATTATGAACATCTACTGGTGTTTCTTAAGGGAAGAAATTACAGCCTTGTGATCTACAGCCCCACTTGCAGTTTTAATTATTTCCTTCATTGCTATAGTGAGGCCTCTACTCTCAAAGCAGTAGCTACATTCTGCCACTCCTCGCTAAGTTCCTTTTAAAAGTTGCTGTAAAAGCTCAACTGTTGGAGCGAATTCCTTCTCAGGCGTGGTTTGATTTTCATGCTATTGCAGGCCACTCTCCATTCACTGCTGGCCTGAAATTTTTAGATTAGTTGATCACAATGGGAAATACTGTAGGACTTTTTTCTCTTTCTCATCTCCAAGGCTCTGAAGCATTGTTTTCTTATGCTAAATCTGCAATAGCACACTGAGGGCTGATTAAGGTTGAAAAGTATTTTAATTTGGTGGTGTGAGTGGGATTAGATAATCTAAACCACCATTTTATGTGATGATATCATCACACACACCCCTTGGGTGTATAAGATTACTTTGTTCCCAGCTCTGACCTTTCGATCTGAATTGTGGGTTTGCTGGAGAATCTGTAGGTTAAATATCTGCATAGTTATATGCAATATGTTGTTTGGGATTAGATAGTGCCAGAAATGATCTCATAGTAATTAGACCAGGTTTTCCAAGAGTAAGTGTTGGAGCAAAGGGAAAACTGCTTGGGCCCTAGCAAGTATGAGACAAGTAGGAAACCACTTGAGCCCGTGCTTTCTAAGACAAGTGGAAGTATGGTCAAGCCATTAGACAAGGCTTGCTAAGAGGTGGGGGAGGCATGGCTCCACCATCACCAGGATGGATATACTTCCTTTCCTGCAAGGAAGTCTGGAGGTGTCAGAGGGCTGGAAGTTCCTGTTAAACCTGTCCATAAACCAAGTAAGCACTGGTCAAGAAGAATCATCTCCAGAACTCTCCAGGAGTCCATGGAGATGGAAGAGAGCAGAAACAAGAGATTGGGGAAAGAAGAGGAGAATTCAGGTTGATTTACCGTAATTGACATTGGCTCTCTAAGGTTTCAGGCAGAAATCTTTCCTACCTGAGGATTCCAGGGACCTTTCAAATGCAGATCATGTGCACTACTGCTGAGCTATATAGGCCTCCCTCGATGTTTAATTGTAATGCCATGCTTAAAAACAACAGCATACTACCATCTCTCTAGGTCAGGCTTGCTCAAACTCTGCCCTCCAGATGTTTCTGGCCTACAACTCCCATGATCCCTAGCTAGCAGGACCAGTGGTCAGTGATGATGAGAATTGTAGTCTCAAAACATCTGGAGGGCCGAGTTTGAGGAAGCCTGTTCTAGGTGCTGCAGATATGTAAGACACTTAAAGGATCAATGCAATCACTTACTTTGGTTTTGTGTGTTGTTTATCAGAGTGCCGGGTAATGAAAAGCAACCCTCCAACTACTCCAGGCAGCAAGTCCTCCCCAACACCTCAGAAGAGCTCTGCAAAGAGTCCAGCTCCTGTGCGCCGGAGCAAATCCCCAGCTGATTCAGGTAACCATCAGGATGGTGAGTGACACTTCTTTTCCCAGCAGATAAATTTTGGCTCCACCTGGAACTGGGTGATAAGTTAGCATCAGGGTCATTGATTCATACATTTCTCACTCATCTGTCACACAGGGCTGGCAACAGGAGCTTTGTGTCTTTAGGCATCTGCCAAGGTCCATAACCTGGCAGAGATTCTCTAGAGAACTGGCCCTGCCTACCTGTTGTTGTTGCTCCTCCTCCTCGCCACAGTCACTTGGCTGTCTTTTGCCCAATCCTGACACTTCATCGCCAACTCAGAGTAGGGATGCATGTTTCTCATTTTTCCAAGTTTACTCAGGAACGCTTGTTGAAAGCTCATTGAAAATTTGAGCACACTTTATCAACTGAATCATCTTTTTCTGTTTACTTGTTGACATTCTTCAAAGAACTCTACTAGGTTTGTGAGACAGGATACCTAACAGAAAGAAAATAAAATATAATAAAAATCCAGCAAAACAGTAACATGCAAAAATAAAAAGATGCGGAAATTTGAGAGTAAAGCCTATTACTAAAAATATATAAATTCAAACTCAGATCTATGAATGGCCCATTTCTTGACTAACAATGCTTACAAATAAAATCAAGTCTTCATTAGCCAGAACATCCATTATGACTTGCCCAACATGTTTCACCCTATGGACGTCTTTAGTGGCTCATATACACTAAAAAAATTGTATCTTTTTAAAATAAAGAGTTCCACAAATTCATCAGGGCAGTTGATTAGCCCTAAGATCATAGATCACTTCAGTGCCCTACAATTTAACCTACACATAAACACAGAATCTAAGACCATAAGAAGACCCTGGCTGCTGATTCAGGCCAAAGACCCAACTAGTCTAGCATCCTTTTCTCACAGTGGCCAACCAGTCGCCTCTGTAGGAAGTCCACAGGCAGGATCTGAGTGCAAAGAGTGCTCTCTCCCCACTTACAATTCTCAGCAACTGGTTTTAGAGGCATGCTGCTGCTTCTGACCGTGGAAGGAGAACATAGCCATTGTTGCTTGAAGGCATTGACAGTCTTATCTGCCATGAATCCGCCTAATCCGTTTTTAAGCCATCCACTACCTCTTGTGGTAGTGAATGCCCTGTGGGAAAGACAACTTTTTTTCTGTCTTGAATCTGCCCCCTCAAGGCACTAGCATTCTGTTAGTTCGTATGAAACAGCAATGTTTGGTTTGGGGGTTTGCTTTTTTCTTTTCTTTTTTACGTGAATGACAAACAGGCTAAGTAAGTTTTGATTTGTAACAAATTGGAAGAGACACATGAGAAGAGAAAAAATGGTGCTGAATAAGAACACCATGAATAAAACATTACCTGGCCTGATTTTTGTGTGATGCTTATCTATTTTATTTGGTTGAAACAGCATATTCCTGAAACTTTTCATCTGTGACATGCCTTGACAACTTATTCCTCACCCTTACATGTTACAGTCACTTGGTCTTCTGTTTGACCCAGACGTGTTTTCCAAAACCTAACGAAAAAAGAATATTAGGCTGGAAATAAGATCAGCTTGATGAGTGCAAAACATCTGAATCTTTGCATATCTTTCCTGGTTTTTGGTTGTATAAGAAACAGAGTGTCTAGGTGAATTTATTCGTTCAATGTTTCTGCCACCCCCATGATAATCTATACCAGCACTAGTGATACTTGCTATATTCATGCCACTGACTGAAATTTTAAGACTGGTGATGACATTCGACATATTATTTATAGAGAAGTCACAGCTGTTTCTTCACCTGCAGTAGAAAAAAGCCCCTCAGCTTCTATCCAGTTTTTCAGCTTGTATGATAGTTTTGCATTGTACATGGATGCTGTCAGTTATTATTATTATTACTACTACCACCACCACCATCAACCTTTCAGCATTTGCATGCTGCCTTTTCAGGGCTAGCCCTCCAATGGCAGTTCACAGCCTACTAAAACAAAAATGCATCACAAAACAGCAACAAAAAAATGCTAGGGTAGTCAGTAATGCATTGCTAAATTTATATTGTACAACACTTAGATATTAAGTGATTTATAAATCTTTTTAAATAAAACAGAGGGGAAGAAGGATTTGCATTGAATTTGCACAGGTTCATTTATACGAAGATGCAAATGTAAAATGTAAAGATATAATTGAATATAATATGTACAGATGTAAAGAGGCAATCCATTTCACCACAGTGGGGGCAGAGTGTGACCTGGTGGCTTGTGCGCCTGATTAGTCTGCTGTCCAGTTGCTTACTGTGGATGGGCAACTTCAAGGCCCCTCCCCTCTTCTTTCCCTTCTTTCTTTTTAATCCAGGCTTGAACCTGGCAGCCCTTCCAATAGAGGGCTGCCCTCTTTAAAGTAAGCCACTTGACCACAGTATATCAATCCACAATCTCTACTGTAACAATAAATCAACAAAGACCCCAATAGACTGAAACAAGTGTTACCTGCAACATCATGTTATAGCATGGATTGCTGCAGAGCTACTACATATCCCTTTCCTGGATACTCCATTCCATTAATCTGGCCCCGCCCCTCTTATGCTTTTAGTGGGCTCCAACCCCTTTTAAAAGTACACGCGGACCTAACGTAAGAAGCAATTACTTGACCCAAAGCATTCACAAGTGATCAGCTGCACTGTGGATTTTGAGAAACAGGGAAACGTTCTGTTTTTAATAGAAAAGCTTGGAGTCTTTAAAATGAGATTTCATAAGTTTGCTTTCAAGCAGTGTTATTTATTCCCACTTCCAAGTTTCATTTTAACCATAATGACCTATTCATTCTGCTATTATTTCATGCATCAGTCTGAAATCATACCCAGATATGACCAAAGCTTGCTTCTTAGCCAGCCCTGCAAAAAACAAACGTAGCATCTTTCAGTTAGATGTATTTTTCATCCCAATATATATCAGTACTAAAAGATTTTACAGAGAAGTTTAAATGTATGATTTATTGGTGGCAGAGTGTTGCATCCTACTAGGATGTAATCAGATCAGACCCTTTAAAATGAATGGTCCTATGTTGGTCATGTCTATTAATTTCAATGGGTCTATCAAAAACATTTTTTTTTAAATGCCCGTGCAGATTTTCATTACAGCAAATAACAAACCAATCAAGAATTGTAACTATACCATGACAAAAGGAGATTTCTTTCAAGGCTCAACCTAGATCAGGTGTTCTCAAAGGTGTTGTAAGAGGCACCCCCAAATAAAAACAGAGAGAGAGCAAAGACTCCCCAAGTGTAACCAAAATGACACCATTAGGAAAATTAATCATTTTCTATAATGAAGTTCAATACAAAGGAAGGCCTCAAATGCCCTACTTTTAATAAAGCTAATGCATCTAATTAGACGTAGGGGAGGCAAAAAGACCCTAGAACTACTTTCAAAAACAGTGGAATCATTTTGCAACCAAGACGAAACCAAAATATAAACTGAATTCTATTCTCCTTTCAATAAAATATGTAAATTGTCCCAAATACTACAAATAATACACTTTCTTATTTGATCCATATTCGAACACTTCTGTAAGGTACTGCTACATACACACACTTCCATCTCCAAGCGGTGAGAGATTTTACTGGTCTGCATACCACAGGTTTGGTTTCCTCATTTTCTGGGAAAGCCCATGTCATTGTATAAAATCCTCATCGGCTTTCCAGAAAGGACAGTCAGGGAGATTGTGGAGTTCAGGGAATGAGGGCAAATATAAAGAAAACACACACACATCATCAAGCACCTCATAGCATGTCCAAAGCAGGAATAAATAATTCCTCTTTCGTGGTGGGCAGAGAATTTTACAAAAATTAGGGGGTTTTTTTTAGCTCAGCACTAGTTTGTACTAATTGGTCATTGCCAGTTGACTTTCCAACCTCAGCTTCCTAGCTATATCAAACCTTCGTTGTGTGATGTGGAGAGGATTCCATGTTGCTTTAAGGCCAATTAACATTCCCATGCCCTTTGCAAGTACCAGGGGGAAGATCCATAGGACATTGATTTTAAATTAAAACATGACCTTCTCATGCTAGTGTCTAGCAGGCTGAGCCTGAATGGGGAAGGCACGATCTTCTAGCCAATGAGAATCTGGCTGGGCACTTCTCATTCATTGCTTCCCTAAAGGCCTGCAGAGAAAGTGATGCATTTTCACAAGACTGCAAGCTCTAGCAAAACACCCACAGAATGCCAGCCTGGCTTGATCTTTTGAATGTTTACCAAGAATCCTTATTACAAGTGGATCTATTGCGGTCTAGATAGTCTGCAAAGGAGACTTCTAGATTATTACTTAATGCTCTGGTCTGTATATAATGTAGCAAATGTTGCATTGTTTTCCTGCCCTCATCCCATATTTGCCTCCCCGCCCCCCATTTTATGTTCTCTACAACAAGTCTATGAGGCAGGTTAACGTGAGCGTTTTTGACCCAAGATCAGCAGGTGAGCTTCTTATTGCAAATATAACAGACAGAAAGGAAAGAAAGAATGAAAGATCCACTCACATTAACAATAAGAATAATCCACCAATCCTAATTTAAGCATATGTATTAATATAGGCAGTCCATACATATACATTGCTGGTATAGCACATGTGATAGAAAGAAGAGTTTCTTCGTAGACTTAAGCCTACTTCTCTCAGAGCTGGTAAACCTGTATTTATAGTTTAGGAAGCCAAGATGAGAACATGTTGGGGAGTTTTCCTTGAACCAGTACATTCAGAGCACATAGCACCTCACTCCAAAGAAAAATAGGAACTATTGTTTGTTAAGGATGATGGGAGCTTTAGCTCTTATGAGTTCCCCGGATTCTTTGGGTGAAGCCATGCGCTTTGAATGTGTGATGTGGATGTGACTCAAGTCAGACCTTTGGTCCGCCCAGCTCAATATTGTATCTACACTGACTGGCAAGAGCAGTTTAGGGTTTCAGGTAACAGTTTTTCCCAACTCAACATAGGTATATCAAGGATTGAAACTGAGGCCTTCTGTGTGTAAAGCACGTGCTCTGCCACTGAGCTACAACTTTATCTATAGATAATACCTTACATGATTGAATACTTCTCTGTACAAATGCATATACAATGGTACCTCGGGTTAAATATGCTTCAGGTTACAGACTCTGCTAACCCAGAAACAGTACCTCGGGTTAAAAACTTTGCTTCGGGATGGGAACAGAAATCGTGCTCCGGCAGCAGGGCGGCAGCAGGAGGCCCCATTAGCTAAAGTGGTGCTTCAGGTTAAGAATAGTTTCAGGTTAAGAACAGACCTCCGGAACGAATTAAGTACTTAACCAGAGGGACCACTGTATAAATAAATCCATGCACATAGAAAACTAGCTAGGGCAGAATGCTTTGCCTGACACCAAGCTTTCAGTATGGAGGGGTTTTTTAAAATATATTTATTTTTTGGTACAGTCGTACCCTGGTTGTCAAACACCCTGGAACTCAGACCTTTTGGCTCCCGAACGCGGCAAACCCGGAAGTGATTGTTCTGGTTTGTGAATGTTCTTTTGGAACCCGAACATCTGATGGGGCTTCTGTGGCTTCTGATTGGCTGTAGGAGCTTCCTGTAGCCAATCAGAAGCCACAATTTGGTTTTCGAATGTTTTGGAAGTCAAACAGACTTCCAGAACAGATTCCATTCAACTTCCAAGGTATGACTGTATACAGGACTATTGATTTGTATGTGCTGCTGAGTTGCCACCTAAAGAGGTACCACTAGGATACAGGTTTACCATCTTACTGAGGACAAGATATGTTGGCAAGAATTGGGGACAAAGAGAAATAATTGCTGTTAAACTCCAGGTGGGACAAAATACATCGATGTGTTCACAAAGTTATAGATAGGTAAAAAGGGGAGGGAAAACTGCTAAGGTTATCTGCTAATGACATATAAAGATTTTCCAGGGAAGATCTACTGGCCTGGATTTTTTACCCTTTTGTGGAAAAATACCTTTTTGTGACTTTGCAAAAGGGCATTGTGCTGATGAAAGTTAAAGAAGTGTTAAAGTGCAAATTTAAAGTGCACAATTTTCAGCTCAAATCTTATCTTTCTTTGGAAGGAAAGGAAGGATTTAAATTCAATAAATAAAAATAATTCAATCAAAACTGTTTCAAACTCAGCACTTCCTATCCTTCTTGCAGCACCTAAGTCATGTTTCAAAAACACGACCTGTTACTTGCAAAGCAAAAGATGTGTAGACAGACAGACAGATACCTCAACTGTGAGGTTGGAAAAGAAACTTCATCTGAACCAGCAAATCATGATTTAAAAGTTTTATTTTGGAATTATGCTTCATAAACTGGAACGTTTCAATGGGAAACTGAATAGGCATTAAAATATATATATTGTCTTTGTTCATTGCTGATTTCTCCTTTGCTTTGTACAGCCAATGGAACATCAAGCAGCCAACTGTCCACACCCAAATCGAAGCAGTCTCCAATCTCCACACCCACCAGCCCAGGGAGCCTCCGTAAGCACAAGGTATTACGTTTCTTATACCTTACTAAACCTCCTACATGATTATTACCTGCCTGCACCACTGAAAGAGTTTGGGAGGGCGGGAGGAGTACCTGGACTGCTCCACTGGAAATAGCCAGATGGTGGTAAGGCAGTCACTGGTTCAGCTGCAGTCTAGTAACTATAAAGGATCTCTATGCTTGATTCTGCATGGGGATGACATTTTGGTTGGTGGTGCAATCAACTGTTAGGGCTCACCCACTCTTCTGTGCTGGTTTCCCCCGGGGAAATCTGATCTTCAGCGCTGAATTGGGTTTTCTGCAGATTGATGTTTGCTCCAATTTAGCACTCAAGAGTGAGTTCTCTGGGGGAAAGCAGCAAGGCAAAGGCAAAACCACTTGAAGCCATGCCTAGAAAGCACAGGACAAGAGGGAAACAGCTCAGACTTGTGCTTTCTAGGCATGAGCAGTGGCGTAGCGTGGGGGGTGCAGGGGGGGGGCCGGCCGCACCGGCCGCAACATCTGGGGTTAGGGCAAATCCACAGGTTAGGGGGCGCAAATCCACGGGTTAGGGGGCGCAAATTACTTGCCTTGCCCCGGGTGCTGACAACCCACGCTACGCCACTGGGCATGAGGAAAGTGGAAGTGGATGAGCCCTCATACAGAATTCCTATTGCGCCATGCTGTCCAGGCACAGACCCACTCTTTAAACCTCTGTGTCCAAGTGTGGGTTTTTGTCCAGACTCTGTGTTTTACCATTGAATTGGAGCAAATGGCAATGCATAGAAAACCCAATTGCAGTTTGCTTCGATTCGGTGGCAAAACATGGATTCTCTCAGGGAAAGTGCTGGGACAAAAAACCAAAACAAAACTGTTTGGACATGGAGCTTTGAAGCCTGGGGCTGTGCCTAGAAATGCAACACAAAAGGAAGTCTGAATGAGTCATTAGTCTCAGCTGTCCATCTACATTTTAGCAAGAATAGTGTATTGACCTTCCAGGATTGTTGTAAAATGTAAGGCTTACTGAAATCCTTTGAAAACAAACATACAGTGTGTGTGTGTGTGTGTGTGTGTGTGTGTACGCATACACATACATGTGTTTGTGCATGATATCTAATGTTTTCAAATATCTATACAGACAGAGAGACTTATAAAAATGATTGTCATTCTGGAAAGTACATTCTTTCATCTTCATTTATATGTACAGCAGATATAGTCATCTGTTGTATTTCTTGGGTGAGCAGGAAATAAGGCATATTGTATCATGAAAGCTGAAATGAATGGAAAGTATTGATTGATTAAGAATGGAGATTTTGTATATTGTGATCATAGTCACTTTCTACTCCAGACAATGGCCTAAGAATACCCTCATCATTGTTGTGGCATTCCACCCCCCCAAGCCCCCAAACCATGGAAATTGCTGTCAGTTATACATTACGGCAAATGATTTCCATTGATTTGGGATGAGCAAACATCCCACCTCAGGTAATCTCCTTCATAAATTATCCAGATTAATAAACTTGATCAATTTCCAAACATCCTCTCCAGACCTCTGGACCTATTTAGATTATTCTAAATAGCTAATCTGGATACGTTTCGTATTTGACCAGAAGTGAAATGGATCCATGAGGGTAGACTCCCTAAATACAGGCTTTAATTACAGGTTTGTTGCAATTTCCTGACTTCTCTTTCTCTGACTCGTTCACACTCTATTTCTCCACATGAATGCTTGCAGGGACCGAAAAAGTATTGTGCAAACCAGCCCTTAATAAGGACAGTCAGTCAGCAGGAGCTTTCAGAGATGGTAGTTTACATCAAAAAAAAATTCGAATCCTAATTGTGTGTGTTTCCTCTGCCCAGATTTTTCCCACTGTATATTTTCTATAGGAACTTTCTGCTGCCATCATAATGAGATACAGCCAAGTGAGACCCTGGTGAACCTCTACAATGTCTTCTTAAGATTAGTGAAAAGGACGACAGTTCAGGGGCAATAAAAGTTCCTTTGAGCAAGTGATGCTTATACATGAATCTAAAGGAACTGAAATGAATGTGATGGCTCTATGTATTAACTGCATCCATCACTAATGATGATTTTGTTCAACGTTCCTGGGGCTTCATTTGAATGGTGGTTTTGATTGAAACTGTAGCAGAAATATGTTCTGAAACACAGTACCACAAGCTCCCTCTGCTCACCAATGAAACCAAAAGTAAAGGTTTTAGGTCCTAAACCTATTCATTCCCCACATTTCATCAGCATTCCGTTCACATAGCATTTCATTTTTTCACCTGTCTGTTTCACTTTCTGGAAGGTGTAGATTTTCAAGGAAAGATCAGCATCAGAAAGGCTATGAAAAAGGGAGGTACTCCAACTATGTTACCTGTAGGCTGTAATGGACCACGGTGGAGCAGGTGCTGTTACCAGCTTACAGAAGGCTTTGGGTAGCTGGGATAAGGTTTGGGTTCTTTAAATGCATTCATTGAAGATTTAACAATACAGTATCAGGGGCAGACCTTAGTTATATGAAGCCCTGCAGGAGGCCAATTGATGCTGTCCCCACAGCCCTTACAACGCCAGTTTAAGTGCTTGCCCACTTTGGGAAGGAGGAAGGAGGACTCTAGGACCCTGTCAGAGCCCCTTCACACCTGAATGGTCAGGAGGTTGAGGACTCTCTTTGCATGGAGGTTTTTAAGCAGATGTTGGGTGGCCATCTGTCATGGATGCTTTAGTTGAGATTTCTGCATTGCAGGGGGTGGGACGAGAAGGCCCTTGGGGTCCCTTCCAACTCTAAGATTCTATGCTTCTATGACTGAGTTTACTTGTATACCGCTTTTTGCTCAATCAGCTGCACCAAAAGCAGCTTTCGAAACCTCAAAGTACAGAGAATTGAAAATGCAAATATACAAAGTGCAGAGCATGTCAGTAAATTAAAATAAAAAATCCTGGCACTAAAACAATTTTAAGGTTTGTGCCAGGTGGTCCTCCCTGAGGAGACTATTCCATAAACAGGAGACTACTAGAGAGAAGGCTTATTTTCTTTTCCTCACACTCCATTGGAGGGTGGCATGCAGTGAAGAGCCTCAGATAATGATCTCAGATTCTTGACAGTAATATATGGGGAAAGGCGGTCCTTTAGATATAGTAGTCCTGAGTCATATAAAGCTTTGAAGGTCAAAAATAGCACTATGACTGGAACCCAGAAACCAATTGGCAACCAGTGCTGTTAGGACAGAATAGGTGTTATATGCTCATGCCTTCTTTTCCTAGTTAACCGTCTAGCTGCCACATCTTCAGTAGCTGTAGTTTCCACACAGTCTTCAAAGGCAGCCCCATTTGCTAACTGTCATCCCTGACTACTCTCTATGCTGACTGGGACAGATGGGCATTGGAGTGACAAATTCCCTAACACTGCTAAAGATGCCCTTGTAACAGCACTCACCACTTGGTCTCTAGGAAGATGAAGAGCAGATCAGGAAGTGGGCTAGAGGTCAGGAAAAGCATCCTAAACTGGTGTTAATCCAGAACTGGTGCTATATGTTCACACCTTCTTGTTCCAGTTAACAATCTGAGAGATACTTGTGCCTTGCAACACTGGGCTAAATGTCCGAATGTAAGATTGACAGGACTCCTTAGAAGGTCATGACTCCAGCAGACCTCTTCCTTTGTGCTTAGAATTTAAAGTGAAATATAGAGAAAAGCTTCATCAAAATTCGAGGAACTTCTGGAAACATGCTCAGCAGTAGAGCATATGCTTTGCGTGCAAAAGATCCCAAATTCAATCCCTGGCACTATAAAAAGTTCGTGTCTGAAACACAGGAAAACCATTAAAGTCCTAGACAGAAAAGAACTTTTTGAGGCTGTGTTTGGATCAAACTGTACTTGCCACCCAAATTCCTACTATGGAGCCAGAAACTCTGGACTTTGGCAACATCACTACTTACTGGAACTGGGGGGGCGGGAGGTGCGGGTCTCTGTCCACAAGCAAGTGGAAACTGGGCATACCAAGCACCCCACTGTATCTTTTTTGTTCATCAAAATGCTCAAATACTGGCAATTCTACTCCATTAAGCAATGAAAGACATGCAGATAATTACAAAGCTTTAGCAGGCATTTTGCTATTCCCTTATAAGGATACTTTTAAAAAATGTTGAGATTAATGCTCTATTCTGCCAGCTGCAAAGTACTGTATAATTGTATTTTGCTAGTGCTGTCACAGTAGCCTTCTGGGACAGGACTGCCTGTAGCAGCTCTAGGGTCTTCTAATTTTCCATCCCATGCTCCCTCCCATGCTCCTATGATGGATCATGGTATTGCATGCAAACTCATCTACAAACATAGAGTGATGGTGTTGGTTTCATTTGCAGTGACAGGTGGATCATGTGAAAAAATAGTTCACCAACAGAGGCAGATATCTTCCTATATACATAAAAATGTAAGGCTGTCATCACGTAGCTCAGGATTTGTAGTGCCACATCACAATCCTGATTTTGTATGAAATGAGGGTGGGATAAAGTGAGAAGGGGAAAGTGGTGGTTTAGAGCAACAGAAGATGCTTGAATACAGCAAGGATAGAGAAAGCTGAGAGGAATATAATGGTTTTAAACAACAGCAAAGGTTTGAGTAAAGTACCTTAATACAACGGAATATTTGAGGGCCCTGCATCCTTTATCTCTCTACCATGAGGCAGCTGAGGAATGGAATAGAGAAGGTTCAGTATAGTGAGACGGATGGTACACTGAAAGGGGAAGAAGTGGCTGTTCTAAACAATAACAGAAGTTTGAGTAAAGTGGAGATGGAAAGACACAGAGGGAAAATGGCAGTTTCAAACAATGGCAGAGGTTTGAATAAAGTAAGAATGGAGCAAAAGTGTGAGAGAAAAGTAGCATTTTTTAACAGTGGAAGAGGTTTGAGTACAGTGATCAGAAGATGGCAATGAAGGGAGGGGAAGCAGCAGTTTAAAAAAAGATTTGGGTTAAAATAAGAATCCCCTGGAAAGAGGAATAGATTTTAAACCACTCTGAGAATTGTAATTGTGGGAGTTAACACGTTTTCCCTTTCTCCTTACAGGACTTGTACCTGCCTCTATCCTTGGACGACTCTGATTCCCTTGGAGACTCCATGTAAAGAAGCCCCCTTCCCTGTGTCCACACTCCATTTTAGATATAGCACCACACTTCTGCCAAAAGGAGCAGAGAGGTCACTGGTGCAAATCCAAGGATACAAAAGTTATGTCTTTTCTTTTCCTTTCCTATATTTCTCCTCTGTGCCACAAAACCAACACCTATGAATCCACAGAGATAAAGGGATACCGATCATCTGAGTAACTTCATAGGAAAGATAAGTGGCCATTATTGGCAGCTTGAAGTCAGAAGGCTTGAATCCTCATGCTCTTCTCACACATTTTAGCCCAAGCGTTTCCTTTTCTTAAAAAAACCCCCCTATAATGTACTGGCTTTTTTTATTTGGCTGCCGGTCAGGTGACAACTTTCTTTTGCAAATGTTCCATTAGCAACTCTGTCCAAAGCCCAAGAGTGGAAACAGGTCTATCCACCAGCACCTCCCTCCCCCCCCCCCCAAAATACCAATGAATACCAGCAACTCTGCAAAAGCAGACCTGTTTCCAATGCTGGGTCTCTGAGTATAACACCTGCATATTGTCTGATGTTAACTCACAGCCAGTGGGAGGCAACTCTTGTCTCTTTGTGAACATCCATATAAGTACAAGGGTGACATGACAATGCTAAGAAATAAAGAGCTACATATCGTGATTTTCTCCTCAAATAGGACACAGGGATATGTTCTAATAAACACACAAAGTTGTTTTAGCGGGGTGGGATTTGGGAAGCCACCCTGCTGGCTCTGCTTGCCAACTCTGCTCTCCATCTTTTCCTCTTCCTCAGTTGTACCTCAATCTCCCAACCCACCTCAGCTGAGCAAAACTCACCTTGGCCTCATTCCCTCACCCTACCATATTCTCTTCAATTGCCCCAAATCACCTCAGCCCCATCTTTTCCTCCCCTTCTGTCTCACTCCTTCCAATGTGCTCAGCCTTTTTCTTCCTTCTTTGTCTGGTCTCCCTCCAAATCACATAAGCCCCATCTTTTCCTTCTCCACTTCACCTCAGCACCCCACCATATCCATGCTCTCAGCCCTGTCTTTGCTTCCTTTCACCTGAGCACCTTGGCCCTATCCTCAAATCCTTTGTCTTCCACCTATACTAAAGTCCTACCACCTGCCCATCCTCACCATCAGCTCCCCCCCCCCACATTTTTGATCAGATGGAACCAGCCCTGGTCCTGAGGCACTCCATGGCTGCAGAGATGATGGCTCCACTGCCCCTCAATGCCCTCTGCTTTGAGGCCATTGGTCACACATATACGTACATTTATATATACATACATATGACCAGCAATAAACATGGTCTGGTTGATATGAAGTTACTGAAATGGTATCTCTCTATCTCTGTGGAGACTATCAATGCCTTGCAAACAGCCAACACTGAAAACACTGTGAAAAAAAATTGTTTTCAGGTCTAACACCTTCAGCTTATTATTAATTTTTAATAACAAGAAATCCATACAACTTTTATAGAGGAAAACAAATAATGTTAGCTGTGTCTTAGAGTCAGCTCTTCAATATCCTTTTTTTAAAAAAAGAAAACTGGTGACTTTCTTTTGCTTTAAAAAAGAAACAAAATTTTAAAATATACAAAAAAAAAAAGTTCAACACAGTAAGTGTTTTGAAGTCACTGCCAAACTGACATCAGAGGTTCATAAAATGGGAGGGGTCTGCATGGGGTGGGGGAGGGATATCACAATTAATTCAAAATGGTTAATATTTTGAGAGTGTTTGTAACATGCTTAAGGTTATGTTCTTAATTTTCTGTATTTCAATAATTCTAACTATGGCCAGATGCTCAGACTGTAGAACTGTTAGGATGTTCATGATACGGTATTATAAACTTTTATCTTGAAGCAGTGCATTATAGTGAAATGGGAAGAAAAGGAATCCATTCAATTTTTTTAAAAATAAGCATTGATGCAAAGTTCACAGTTTTATACAGACCTGCCATTTTATTTACTGGGTCTGGATACACGTACCAGATAATATTGTGCATTGCATTATTCCTTATTTGTAGGAATAAGCTCTACATAATCTTGCAAAATGTTATCAGAGCAATACCCATATAACCAACCTTGGGGATTGCTTTCCCCACTCTCCTTTAGATTCATTTGCAAACCGTTGTGAGTTTAGAATGTATTGCAGCAATTGTACTTTTGATAAGGTTATGTTTTCATTTTGCAATTTCATTATGTGAGCCACCTTGGGCAATTTGCATAAAGCTGAAAGGCATATGGAAATTTCTAATAATAAATAATACTTCACACTGGGGTACTTAACTCTACAACAACTTTTGGCTATTAGAGGAAGACAATGCTTGGCCCAAAGTTGGTATTTGGTGGTTAGCTTTTGCATTCCTTACCACTGGCATCTTTGTGATTCATGTGGCAATGTGGATAAGCCAAGCTTGCAGTTTTGTTTTAATTATTTTTAAAATAGAAGGTTTCAGACTACCCAATGGCTGCAGTTTTAGTAGAGACCCTGCATCACAAGGGCAAGTGAGGATCTACCCTTTGTTGAACCAAGCAGTTAAAACCTAGGGTTTCCTTATCTCTATGCCATTGTTTGGCCAAAGCTATCTAAACTTTGGTTCAGAAGATTCAGCATTCATGTAAGTTCAATGGTCAGATCACTGTGGAGAAGGCTGGCTTTGAGGACAAAGCATAGGGAAGGCCTACAGGAAAAAAAATTCCAGTGTGTGTTTGATATCTGGCAGATCTGGTGTATGAATTGGAGCAGGTCTCTTAATTTCTCTGTGCCTCAATTTACCGTATCTGTCAAATAAGGACAGTAATACTTTCTCTACCTCATGGGGAGGGATTGGGAGGGTTGGCCAGTGAGTCCTTTCGTTGATGCTGTTAAATATTTTTGGATCATCTGGTAGGAAAGTGCTGTCTGTGACCTCCTAGGGACTAGTATTGAGGAAGACTTTGGAAAGATTGTCAGGTTTCTTTGGTCAATTCCAGTGATGGCTTCTTGGGGTTAACTTAGAAGGCACTGTTGCTTGCTAAAGCTGCCAAGTGGCCCTGACACAGAGCCAGTTCATACCCACAGTTGTCAGCACCAGAAGCAGCAAACTCTGTATGCTCACTGACCTCACCCCTCACAGAGGGGCACTGTGTACCATATGAGGCTCTGAATCCTGGGCATGAGCGTAGCATAGATTGTGAACTGCTTAAGGCCACACTCCAGTCTACTTGGAGATGTGTTTTGCTTGTGATGTTTGATCTCCTGTTCTCTCTCCTCTCAGTCTTGATAGGCTGCTCCCAATTGCCCCTCAGAGTGTGACCGGGAGCATGCACTGGATGAATGTGGAACTGAGGAATTGTTTCTGTTATAATATGATAGGGAAGCAGTACTCCACTCCACCATAGCACTGTTCCTTAGTAACATGGAGGAATAATGCAAATATTGCTCCATCCAGGAACTAAAGGTCTTTGTAATAATGTATAATACAATCTTCACTATTTCAATAAGCAGGAAGAAAATGATCCGCAATACAGAACACACACCACCTCTCCTTTTCCTGTCCCCTACCCCCCAAAACAGATCCTACACACAATTGGGTACAGTCCATTTGATTGCTGGTTTTGTGCAAGGCCCAAAAACTGAGCCTATGATTGGCAGGAATACTGTAGTCTTTTGAATGTTATACTCTGTTCTCCCCTCTTCATCATGTCCACAGGAGACAAAGCTAGATGGCTAATGCTATTAGCCACAATAGCTACATGTAACCCCAGAGGCAATAAACCTCTCAATGTCAAATGCTGGAGGCAAACAGTTGGGAAAAGCTGTTGACTTCATCCCCTGTTTGTAAGCTTTCCAGATGCTGGCCCCTGTTGGTAGACAGAATGTTGGGCTTTTGGTCCAATCCAGCAGGGCTTTTCTTATATTCTTAAGTAGAACATTGTTTACATGGAGTATGTTTCCCATTTACCAACAACAACGTGTTTATTTAAACAAGTAATACAGATATAGGCATTTTTCTTTGATTGCACTTAATAGTGGCATATCTGAGAGCCTGGACCAATATGGACTCCCTTGCCTGATGTGCTCCAATAATACACATCACTCTTCTGAATAAGGGCCTGGCAAGATGAGGCTTTTGTAATAGTTTGTGTTGCCACGCATTGCATCAGCAAGCAAATATACAGCAGCCTAGTGGAAAGAGAAGGTAGATCTTTTTTTCCCACAAGGAAAAGAAAAGCCATTCAGACCTGCAAAAGTGAAACAGGGTAAAGGGCCAGACTCCCAGGTTTTAGAAGCAATTCTTCAGGTAAATGTTCTTGAACTGTAGGTAGAAATCAGTGACCATGTCGGATGTAAAACTGCCTGTATAGTTGATGTTGCATGAGTCTTTATACAAAAATAAAAATAAAAAATGCATGCAGAATAGCAGTGTGTACAATGCTAGGTGTGTTCAGCTCTTAACTCTTGGAAAGGTTATTTGAAAAGAAAGAAAGAAGGATTACAGGGAACTTCTCTTATACCTGATTCATTGATGCAAGCACATGAGGTGGGTGGTCTCAACACTAACACTAACCCAGCAGTGACTGTCTAGGAGGATGGTTTTCCATATCTCTGGGGAGAACCATTTCTACATTGGCTAATCTCTTGAGGAACCTCTACATTTCAGAGGATGCTGTGCGTGTTCTAGGGGGCAAATATTGTACACACAAAAAAACAACAACTGGACAGGTCTGTGGGGCCTCACTATCATCCCATGTGAACTGAAAGTAAACCTTGGAACTGGGGCTAGCTTCATGTTTGGCAAAGTGTTTGCTGATGGACTGCCAATGCTCCTGTAGCAGGCTTATTTGATGGTTTTATGCTGGGCAGCAGTGGTGCTCTGATAAATGCTGAGCATTGGGAGTCCTGAAGGCCTGTTTTACTTTGAATTGAATGTTTCGTTTCCCACAATACCTCTGACTGATGCTACATTAGGCCCACAAGTGACATTATAATGGCTGTCTAGCATTTATTGAGTGGCTTGCGCAGGCACCTGCTGGCACCACCATTGGGCATGTTGTTGAGACTACCCCAAGCTGAGCCATGGGCTCCCTAGAGCACACACAACATTCTTCTGCAGTTAGAGAAAATGCCAGAAGATTGGGAACAGATGGCAAGCTCTAGGAAATGCCTGGCTGCTATTACTTATTTTCTCACTGAACAACTGTAACTAAGTTCTAAAGGACCTCCAGAAGTTCCTGGAACACAGCTCAGAAACCTCTGATCTAATCACTGTCACTGGCAGCATGCCTCTGAATCGCAATTGTTGGAAACCACAGGAGGGGGGTGTGCTCTTGTGCCCAGGTCCTGCTTTCAGATTCCCCACAGGCATCTGGTTAGCCACTGTGAGAACAGAATGCTGGACTAGATGGGTCACTGACCTGATCCAGGTACAGGACTTCTGTTCTTCTGTTTTTAGTGGTTTCCCATTTTTGCCCAGTAAGTGGAGCTGCCTGTGTACATAAAGGGTGAAATAGTTCTAGGTAGTTGCTGGGGTTGTTCATCAGCTCCCTATTCCCCCAGTATCAGGTTCTTATGTAAAATTAATTATAAACCATTGCCAAACACAAGGCTGGCCTGAGGCAAAGGACAAGGAAGTACTACCCCCACCATCCCATTCAGTGTAGAAGCTGACTGCACTGGCAGATGAATCTTACTGAAATACAACAATGTGATATTGCTCTCCACCACACCTGAGGGAAGCAGGTTGGTTTAAGAGGTGCCTGAGAGACCTGTGGGCAAGCCCTGTAACCAGTGTCGGAGGCAATATGTCTCTGATTGCCAGTTTCTGAGTATCAAGAGTGGAGAGGGTGCTGTTGTGCTCTGTTGTGTTGTGGCTTCCCAGTGGAACATCTGGTTGTCTTCTGTGAGAACAGAGGCTGGACCAGATGGGCCTTTGGCCTAATATAGCAGGGCTTTTGGCCTAATATAGCAGGGTTCAAACAACAGTCTGCCATCTCCTCCTCCCTCCCTTAAAATTTGTTTAAATTTTCCACACAGAATTCTGTACGACAAGGCTACTGCACTGATTATGCTGCAAAAAGTCACTGCTAAATTTCCCTTGGAGGAGGTGTGCCTTTGAACCAGGGATTAACTGGAATCATTCAAAGGATGCTGTAATCCAAAATCAAGTCCATTTATATTCTCAGACATAGTCTCAGACATCTGTCAGGGATTCTTTAACTGATTCATTGCAGGAGGTTGGACTATCAGGCATGGCCAAACTTGGCCCTCCAGCTGTTTTGGGACTACAACTCCTATCATCCCTAGCTAACAGGACCAGTGGTCAGGGATGATGGGAATTGTAGTTCCAAAACAGCTGGAAGGCCAAGTTTGGCCATGCCTGGACTAGATGAAACCTTGGGATTGGAATCTACAGGATTGGGGATAAGGGACAGTCTAAGTCTGCTATGCTACTGATAGTTATGCCTTGTATATTTAACCCACCCTGGGAACAAAACTGACTGAAGGGTGTGCTAAAAACAGAACAGTAGAATTGACTCCCTTGGAAGGTGGTGGGCTATCCTTCCATGGAGGTTTTTAAGCAGAGGTTGGATGGCCATCTATCATGGATGAGATTCCTGCATTGCAAGGGTTGGACAAGATGGCCTTCCCGTCCCTCCCAGCTCTACACTTCTATGAACTCTCTGAAGGATGGGCTAGAACTTGAAATAATAGATACTGAAATGCTTAAGACTAGTGGTTCTTTTGCAGGTGTATTATGCAACAGATCGGGTGCAATAATAGGGCATTAGTGATGGATTTATGCTGGGCTATTCACACATCATTCTACTTTGTAAGTTGTTTTGTGATGCTTCCCCAACGTTATTGCCATCTGGAAGGGTGCTATAACAAAAATGGAACACATACACACCTTGCAACATTTGTGGTATAAAAAGGATTACAGCAGGAAGGATTTCAGCAGGAAGTTACAGGACATGCACTGATTGGAAACAAAATAGTATGTTCACCCCAAAGCTTTTGCAGGCACAAACAGTATTGGAAGCAGGACTGGGTATCTTTGCCCCAATACCATCATGAGCACAAATCGTCATAAATGCACAATGAAAAGGACATCTGGAGTGTCTCTATATACAGGCAGGCAGACAGACAGACAGACAGACAGACAGACAGACAGACATAGCCCCCCATACTAATTCACCAACTTAAATCATTTTCCCTAATGCTGCCATTAACTGCAGTGGGGGAGGGATTTTTCTTTGTTTGGGAGATTCATATTTAAGCCATGGCGTTAGGGAAATGGATTCTATCCCCACTCCTGCCCCATTGCAACCCTGATCCAGATCCCACAACCTCAACATGGAATGCTCCCATCCCATAAAGTTTGGCTCTTAGGACATTCATCTCTGCTTTTGTTTTACAGTGACCCAAAATCGGTTGTAAATATTTAAAGTTAAATCTGTTAAGACTTGGCACGTTTCCGTGAGAGTGCAGCTAGAAGTGTGAGATGACCATCTGCCCTAAAGCTATTTGAGCGCCTAACATCTGTATATATGCTGAAAGGACATATGTAAGAAACTGGAGCTCTATATTTAAAAGTTTTTTGTTAAAAAAACACACCCAGAGAAGTTTTGCTCACCATGCAGCTGTCACATTTTGCTTTCCGTTTTAACACACATGCACACACCAGCTGCAGATGTCTAGTGTTCAGCCATCTTTCAAAAGGAAAATTCAACAAGAGGGTGGCATTAACACCTAGGATTTAGAACTCTGGATGGTTTCTTATCTTCCGGTGAGACTCTTGCTCAGCAAGTTTGGCTACCACGTTTCATTTCAGGATCTCTTTCTATGTATCTGTAGAGTTTCCCCAAGTTCTAGCATCTTCTCTTGGCTTGCCACTGCAGCTTAAAGCCCTAAATCTTCCCTCTTTTTCCCCTTTCTTTCCATACCAGTTCCTCAGTCCTTGATGAGGTAAAGAGAACCTCCTTCTTTCATTCCCTTCCTGCAGTCTATACCTTTTTCCTCCCCCTTAGCAAAATCCTTTCTTGGGGTTTACTTGTTCTCTTCACATCCATCTCAGCTGTCCTCTCCACCATATTCTCCCTGATAGGATATAGCTATAAAGCCTCCAGATATTGCATTTTCTGCAGTGGCTTTGCATGCATGGTGACATCCATAAGAGAATTTCCCTCATGTGCCCTCAGCCTGGATGCTTCCACATCCTGTCAAACCAACTGGGGTATCACACAAAAAGTTCCCACAGCAGCCACACAACTTGTATACAGCAAAAACTGCATCACTGAAATGTTTTAAAAGAGAAAAAGTATTGTCAACTATTTATCAGATTGGCAGTGCCAAACCTTCTCATGGTCTTTATTTTGACTATTTGAGTTGGTTGGGGAGGAAAGCAAAGATGCTTTCAAAAAGAGCAGTGAGTCCACCCAAGAATCCTCTGTGCAGAAGCAAGAAGCTCAGATGACTGAGTTAACAAAATCGGTGCTCCTAGTTCAGGACAAATGAAACATCTCTTCACAAGATACCCAATTCATTTATGGAATTCACAGTCATTACCCATGGTGACAGCCAGCAGTTTAGATGGCTTTAAAAGAGGACTAGACAAAATCATCAGAAGAATAGGATTGCTGGTGGCTATTAGCCATGAGGGGTATATGGAACCCCTATGGTTCAGAGGCAATATGCAACTGAATGCCAGCTACTCAGAGACAACAGTGAGAGAGGGCTGTAGCCTTCATGCCCAGCTAATTGGCTTCCAAAAGGCATATGATTGGGTAGTATAGGAAACAAGATGCCAGAGTGGGTGAAACTATAGTCTTATCCAGCAGAGCTCATTTTCATTTCCCTCCTGTTGCCAAACTTGGAACCTGCCTCAGACCATGTTCTGCCTGTTTCGCCTGACTGTACAATTCACCTTTTGTGGGGGTGAGGAGAGGGCAAATTAGGTAGGTCTGCATTAAAATGTGAAATGTTCACAATGTTCATATTCACAAGTAACCACAAAATGTTCATATTCACAAGTAACCACAAAACAGGTCATATTCTAAAGCAGAAATAACTTGTTAGACAATTTTCATTTAAACTGCAGATCATCCCAGCTATTGACATTACAGCTTATGTTGTCAGCTTAGAAGATGGACTGAGTTTTACGCAATGCCAATCTTACTCATCTTATCCATGCAATGGCATGGATAATTTAGGATCATTCATTTCAGTGGGTCTATTCCGAGTAGAATGTAGCTTGATGCAATCTATAGATGATAGACAGATAAGAGTGAGCTCTTATGAAAAAAAGTTTTCAAGATTAATGGTTCCCCAATTCTGCAAAATGATGGTAAGATCTGGAAGATAGCAAGGAGAAGCAGCTCACTGGATGGAGTAGAACCACTATGCTACCTTCCCAGGAGGTG